ATTATAGATATATTATTAGTATATATAATATATGCTTATCTTTATAGCATATATTATATGCTTTTAAAGATAAGATATCTGAACTTTGATTTTTTGTTACTAATTTTAATTGATGAATTGTCTCGTTAATATACCCATTTTTAATTTGATTATTTATTCGTGAATTTATAAAAATCTATTGTTAAATTATCAATGCTATTTTCGGACGATTAATTTGAAATAATTTAGTTAATCGTAATATAATAACTAAAATTTTCTCATTAAGTTGTATCAAGCTGTGCAATTTACAACGTGTTTCGTTCATTCTTTCTTACTCGCGAATTGCAATATAAAGTTAAGTTTATAATGAATTTCGCATTGGCAACGTGTCCAGCACGTAGACCACTTTTGTCGATTGACCATTCCTGTGCATAGTAACTTGTTCCTTCGATGCATTAGATTGGAACTTTAACGAGGTACTGCTACGATCACCGTCATACAATTTACAAGGAAACCAGGAAACTAACAAGTCTTTAGATCAATGATTTGCACCTTAAATCGTACATTTTAAGATTCTACTTGTTTATCTTATTATTTTCGATACAATTATCCTATGGTTTTTTTGTCTTCTTTTTCTTATTTCTTAATTTTGTTCATTGCGTAAGCGGACTAATTAATTTCTGTGTGCAAAATTCAATTTTAATATTATTAAATAAATGATTAAATAACTTATATCAAAGATTTTGTTGATTTATCAATTCGTAATAGTAATTGTGTCTTGGAACAAATTTGATTATATCATATTTTACAAAAATATATATCCGAGAGAAGAGTAAATGAAAAAAATTCGTTTAAATCGTTCGATTAGAAAAGAAAATTCTCGTTCACGTACATGTGTACACGTGAATTATCAATACAAAGTTACACAGATAGTTGGGATTGTAATAACGGAGGCGTGAGTTTTTTTTTTTTTCTCTCTCTCTTCCTCATAAAGATTAACACAAGAAATTACATTGCCATATTCTCGGAGGCCTTGACATTTAAACATCATCCGGTCTCGCAAATTTATTTCCACGTATCGAGAGAATCGATTGAAAATACTTTTTTTCTTTTGAGTTATAACTTTGAATCTTTAAAAAGAACGACATTTTTATGCATCCCGAATTCGTAATCCGATTTAAGGGATGTTTCGTTTCATTTTTCTAACATAAAATAAAAAATTGAAAAATCAGAAAAAAAATAAAAAGAAAAAAGAATAGAAAACTAGAAAAAAAAGATATATTCTCTTGAAAATATATTTTATAAGAATTCGAATCTCGATATAAATATATGGGCGAATGAAGCAAGTAAAGCCGACCCTGGGAGCACTTTCAATCCACTCGTCTGGTTTTGCTGCACGGTAAAAGGGGGTCGGGTACGTATAAGTGTAACCCTGGACAAAAAAAATCGATCTGCCACACCTCGTTTGATACGGAACACGGTGCATTCGAACCGGTGTGCGACTCCCTTCAAATGCATATGTGTGTTTGTGTGTGTTATTCACGCATACACACGCACAAACACATGCATGTCTCTCACTTTCTGTATACGGATGTGTATAAGTGCAAGTATGATGCACGCATCATAATAGTATGCATTAACAGAAAGGTTCTTAACAGTAAGGTGATATCGGATTAGGTATAAACTCTAGATTACTATGCTATTAAGTACTAGAATCGTCTAGTTTATTATTTCAAAGGAATATCGTATTTTTTTCTTCATTTCGTATTATGTTCGCAGCCATGAATTGCAGACGTGCGATTGGCCACGTAACGTTGGCTGTCCAGAAGGTGGTTTGGTCAACAAGGAGATCGATGAGGATCCGTTGTTAGAAAGGTATGACCTTCGAAGGGACAATTTTTAATCAAACTTACTCTTATAAATACATATATATATATATATAACGTAACAATATTTCATTGTTAACCCTTCTTTGCATGATTTTTTCTTTTTTTTTTTAAAATAAATCAGGGTGATGTAATTAATGCTCTAGATCAGGGCTTCTTAAACTTTTGTCATTCACGAGACCCCATTTATGATTGCGAGTTTCTTGACGACCCCATTTATGATTGCGAGTTTCTTGACGACCCCATTTATGATTGCGAGTTTCTTGACGACCCCATACAAATATTACTGCTGTCGGTGGAGATAGCTCAAAACCTTCAACAAATGCACGTGTCTAGACGCTGCAAGTCCACTGTATTCCGCCAATTCTAGTAATGTTATAAAATGGTATATATCAATATTTGACATTAAAATCTCTCGCGACCCCAGAATTTTGCTACGCGAACCCATTTGGGATCGCGACCCATAGTTTAAGAAACCCTGCTCTAGATTAAAGGAAAAATATTTAAACAAAATCCTAGTGCTATTTTTTGACAACTGCGTTTTGTTGTACGCAATAGTCGTTTAAAAAGTTGCCAGCAACAAGAAATATACAGTAGAAGGGTTTTGAGTACCTTTTTTTGTTGACTAAATATTATGATTGAAATTTCCATCATCATGCAAAGAAGGGTTAACAATCCAACAAAAATGTTACCCAATTTTCTTTCTCCCATATAACTTTTACACTTTTTAATTACAATTGATTGCATTCAAGTTTATTAACCAAAGTAATCGTGCACACAATAAGTCATTGAGACATAGTCTAGTGACGTCATCGTCATCATCATCATTGTATAGCATCATTTATATATATATATATATATATATATACTTGTCTATTTATTCGAAAACTTTCCCACCGTTTTATTATTAAATCGGTCATCGTTCATGATAGAATATCGCAATTTTACGCTTAATTACGAGCAGGTAATTATCGATAAAGTTCCTCCGATCACTGGATAATCGAAATAACGCCACAACTTTTCCCACGGATTCCCACCACAACAAGCGTGGAAACTAAACAAAATTCTTTTCCATCGGATAATAGAAGAAACTATTTCATCGATCTTGATTATTCTCGAACGGACGTCCTCGATCCGATCATTCCGATTGATTTTGTTTTCAGTTCTATTTCACGTAACATTGCGAAATAATTTTATTCGTACTTCACCCACGTAGTAAAAGTCAAAGTAAAAGAATACAAAAATAAAAAAATAAGATATGGAATGTAGAATGAAATAAGGTGAAGAAAAAGGAAGACGAAGGTGAAATAGTTCGATTAGAGAGAGACAGAGAGAGGTGGAAATAAAATCTGAGGGAAGGAGAAGGATATTCGAAGGGTGGGAGGGAGGGTGGTAGGTAGAAATCGGAGAAAGGAAAACAACTATCGCGATAGTACGATTCGTTGGCTTGATAATTCCTGTCTGCCTACCCTGGTCAAATATTTCCAATCTCCTTGGCTCACCTAATCTATCCTACCTCGTATTACCCTAACTCGCGTGCCTAAATGATTGGAATTACGATACACGTGGGTAGAACAAGGCTTTCAACTTGTTTATAAGCAAATATTAGATTAACCAAGGCTACCCCCCTTCTTCCATCGTGTTGCTTTTCTTTTTTATTATTTTTTTATCAACGAACATTCCATTCGAGTTACGAATAAATGTTTAGAATTGTCGAATGATTTTCTACTTTTTGAATTTTGTCGATATAAATTATTATTATAATAATTCGTACTCATATTTAATTGCCAATCCAATATATTTTCTCTTTCTTTTTGGGAAAAATTTGTCACGGTTAAATCGAACGATTTTTCGGCACTATTTTTATAATTACGAGAGAGAAAAAAAAAAGATTGTTTTTTTTTTTTTGGATAGAAAAGAGAAAGAGATGGATATAAAGAAAGTTGGATGTTAAGTTTGAAATCTTGTTTTAATTTCCGGTTAACTTTTTCTCTATCGATCATTTCTTTTTTCCCATTGCAAACTATTCCATTTTGCACCGTTCAACTAACTAAGATTCGTTTTTCTTATTCTCTCGCGTAAACGTTGCTGCCCGTAGTCGGCATAACCCAAGTGTCCCGTTGTGCAACGAGTTAAGCAACAAGAACTCAATGGGCATTCATTAAAGTATTGTATAGGAGAGTTAAACGTCGGGGAATCGATTTCTCCATTTCTAACAACTCACCCCCTTCCTTTTACATTTGACTTTATTCCGGGTGCCAAAGATAGAATACCGCGACCGTGAGAAATTCAATTAGAATTTCATTTTATTTTTTTTGCAAATTATTGAATAAATTAATCATATAGGTCTACGAAAATCGAATCGTTGCAACAGCAACAACAACAGCAACAACAACAGCAGCAACAGCAACAACAGCATCAACAACAGCATCAACCTGTGCAAAGACCAATCCAAAGGCAACCGGTTTTGGTTACTTCAACAGCTTCCCCAGCACCTCAGACCACCGAACGACAATACCGTCAACGACAACAAGTTAGAAATTATCCCGAGGATGATTACGAACCACCTAGCGAAATTGAAAGTGACAGACAGCAACGTGTCTACAGAGGACAACCTTCGACAATAGGACAAGTGCAACGTGACCGTGATGGACTTCGTAGAAACATCATTTCTGTGAGTATTAACTTTTCCGGAAATGATAGAAAGAAAGAGAAAGAGAGAGACACAAATAAAGATGAAAAAGGATGAAAGAAACTAAAGGTTCAACGAAGTAATTGGTTTTTCATTTTCTTTTTTTTATCGTTAATCACAGGAAAGAGAAAAGGACAGTCTGGTGAATGCACGCGTTCAAGCGGAATCTCATTACAGGTATCGTAAAAGTCATCATTTTTATTAATCGATCTACGTATGACCGTGATTTTTTTCTCCCTAACATATAATATTTTTTTATAAATGAATAATGAATATTTTGAAGTATCTTTAATGATTAAGTTGCTTTTTAATTTTTTTTTAAGTAAGAGCTTTAATGATTGAGTTGCTTAAGAAGTCCCAATAAAGGGACGAAACGTCCAACTCAATTAAATTAAGTTCTACTTCTATTCATGTCCAAGTTCCCTATGAAATTTGATCATTTTGAAGTAACTTTTCGATTCATGTTTTTTTTTTTTTAGGACACAAGTACCTTCAACGGAATCATCTAGAATTGCTAAAACATTGGCATCTACGGCAGCACCGATCATATCGAAATCATATTACCATGATCCTGATCAAAGTTATCCATATTACACGATTTATGAAGATGACGTTTCAATGTATAAAGATGATGGTAAAGTATTCGTTCGATTGGATAATATTATTGATAATGATATTCGAATAAATGATAAAAAAGAAAATGTTCTGTTCGCGTCATAATGATCACGTGTTGTCGTTAATGTTCTTAAGGAGAACCCCCACCCCCCACCCCTTCCTTCCTTGACATTATCAAACCCGAAGAATTTCTTTTCGCAATGACCATGACTTTTCTCACATTTAGATTACAATCAGTACACGGTTAACCAAACGGTACCACTGCAACAACCTAACGTGAAAATTAGCGAAGTTAGCACGAAGCAATATCCACAAAAATCGAAAAAAGTTAGTGTCAATGACGCGGATAGATATCATTTGAATCACGATGTTACCGCACAAGATTATGACATTTATGAGAATCAGGTAAGAAGACAAGTATCGGAAGATATTTTGACCCTTTAATCTATTTTCTCGTATTATTCATTATTCATTTATTATCTCCTTTTTATTTTTATTTTTTAGGCTCAATTAAATAAAAATAGATTCAGAATTTCGGAAGGACAATCACCTTTAAGGTAAAATATATTAGAAATTAATTGTTTTTGTGTAATGCGTTTAAATGAAATTATTAAACGTGTCAGATACACACACGTATATATATATTCGTATCATCAACATTAGAAATAACCGAATTGTTTGACTCGTTTAATTAAACATTCAATTAATTTCTTACACCTGACTATTTATACAGGACGAACGTTGTTAGCCATCCTGTGGTCCACGTAACAACTCCCAATGCCATCGTTGATACATTTGTTCCATTGACGACTACCACTCAAACACCTACGACAAGTGCTAGGCCTTATACTGTTAGTGTTTCAAGGTATGTTTTACAACGCAACAAAATATATTAGAATTAGTAGAATGTGTTGTCTGCAACTTTCGAAATAATGATCTACATCTAATAGACATACATTATAAATATTTATATATGCGTGTTTGGTGAGATAAAATATTCATATTTACGATTAAAATTATAATGAATTATCTCTCTTGCAATATATTTTCGTTTATGTTAATCTATTTTCATTGCAATATTGGCAATGTATAATAAAACGATCAGTCTGATGATAAATTGAAAGTTAAATAGAAGATCCGAGTGATATCAATCGGATCCCCATGTGATCTATGTAATCTAGATCAACGAAAATGAATACCATAGTATTTTAAAGGGCCCCGTTGGCTGACTGAGACCCGATTTCGCTTACACGCATAATGGCCTCAGCAAAAATGATTCCTCGCTTTTACTCACTTTCTCCAGCGGGGAACAAAGAACGTATACATACGTCTTACGAATTTGATATTAACTATCTAAATATATATATTTTTTTTTTTATTATATTACAGTCGAGGTCGTCCCCAACAAATCAACCGAGGTACTGCACCACCGTAAGTTAATCTATCAGGTTTCTTATTAATTATTCTATCGATCGTTACACTCCCATCGTAATATTAATTATTTCGAAATAGTGAAGTCGTCGAATGATTGCATTGAAAGGAGAGAAAAAAAAAATAAAATAAAAGAAATAATTATTCTCTTCATACGAGCAGTGAAATTCAATTACGAAAGAATAACTCGTTAGCAACGAGTACTTTAATCCACCTTCTCGTCGATAATGAAAGTAACGTCGCGAGATCCTTCCTTCGGGTATCAACGGAAATGCATACCGTGAAAATAACCGATGTAGAAACTATGAGAAAGATAAGAAGTTGTTTTACCAAGTGAAAATAATTGTTCAAATATATCATGAGATATAATCGAGTATATTTCGAGTATTTAACCCTTAATCTATTATCATTAGTTGAGAAAAAAATGACTATCTCTGATCTATCATTATAGAAAATTACACTTAGAAAAAAAAGAGTAATTAGAAATTTGGAATTAAAAACAAAAAAAAGTGTTAATTAATAATTATTTATCTAACTATCCCATCGCAACATTTTTTCTTCGCCATATAATTTTCATTTAATGACAGAATAGTAATACGAAGACCCTTTTTTTTTAATTGCATTTCTTTTTCTCCCCTATCATTTTGTTTTGTTATATCTTATACACGTTGACGTAATTTTATATCTATATAAAATATATATAAAAATATATAAAAATAAAACGATAATATATATAAAAAAAATATATTAAAAATAAGATATAAATAAAATTTATATCTATATAAAATATATCTTAATTATATAATTATATATAATTAAAAAAAAAAAGAAAAAAAAGAAAAAAAAAAAAAGAATTAATAATAGTCAAAATTCTTTCAGTCGTTCACGACCAACGTTGAAACCATCGACGGAGATTGTTTCGAAGGCACAGGAATTCATCGATATCTATAGATTCCCACCGGTTAGACCAGCTCCGATTTATCCGACACCTCAGGTCGATAAGCCAGCTGCAAAATGCCGAAGGGATGTTTGTCTACTTCCGGATTGCAGCTGCGGAGGCGCTGACATTCCAGGTATGCGCCCACTTTCGTCCTTACCTTTGATGATTCTATAGTTACTACTATGTAGATAGAATACCAATACTAGTATCTTCATATGAAATTGTCACTATTCTTCTAAAGCAAAGTTTTGCATTCATATATCTTTTAATCCTTTGTCATACAAACAAAAAATTGAATTCGATATGCAACAAAAATATCATTTAATTTGATTGCATTAAAATTATACACCACAAACCTAAAAACATAATGAAGTATTTACATTGTTCGAAATATTCTTTTATGAAATTTATATAGAACATTATAACGATGAATAATAAACTAGCAGTTTTGTGTGTACTATATAAGAAAAATGGTGTTCCCTAGATATCGTTGTATGCTAAAGGATTAAAAAATAAATGTAATACTTAAAGCTGGAATTTATGTAGAATAATAGATTCATGAGGATACATTTTCGAGGGCTAGGATCGTGTTTAACTTTCTGAAACGTGACGTAATAAGTCGTCGCGCTACGAATGTTAAGTTTGACGATCGGTTTTAGCGGTCGCCATGACTTTCTCCGATTCTAACGTTACATATACACGTTATATAGTGCGTTCGAAAGTGAAACAGATCCGCGTCGTGCGAGTAGGATATATAAACATACACATATATAGATATATATATATATATATATATAGATATAATGCACCGGCCGATGTATTGCACACGAGCGATGCCCTTCGAAATTGAAAGCTTTCAGCGCGAGACTGAGTGATATATTATTTTTTTTTTCTTTCTTTTATTTTACTTTTAACTAATCTGAAAGCGAAGTGGTAACGATCTCTAATGATCTCTTAGCTCGAATGACTTTTATATATGCGCGCCTATATTAATTCGATATACATATAATATTATTTCCTTTTWCATTTTCTATTTTATTAATACCGTTCTCATATAAAAAAAAGGAACAAACAAAAGAGAAAAATAATTAATTCATTGATTCATTTCAAAAGATAAATAATATCGGAATTATATATACCCCTAGAGACTGATAGATTATCGAAACAAATAAAAAAAAAAGCATGAACATAAAAATGAAATAATTATCGGA